TGATCAAAACCCGTCGTTTGAAATAAGGATACGTGAAATTAGTTTACCGCAATTCAGAAACACATAGACTCTTTAAAAAAAAGCAAAATTTTTGATCGCTTTTCGGAGAAGCGTTCCCCCATATCCTGCTGGTATTCGATGATGAACCGATGCGCTGTATTTTTGCAGCAGGTGTATATGCTGGATCCTGCATATGCTTTCTCTTTCCCGACTATGCTTTCGTTGCTGCATATTACGTGCGTCCGGAATTTCGCGGCCGTGGAATTGGTTCACAGCTCTTTAATTTGGTGGTTAACAATAAAGTGAAAGAGGGAAATGTTGGTTTGTATGCAGGTGAGTTTTCACTATCTTAGGGCCTTACATTGCTAGCAGATTGCCATAGCGGTAAATTCTGATGTTTCCGATGGTAGCATTAAAAGTAATCGGCAGGATTTATTGCCATGCCTTGCTGGTAATTTTAACACTTCTCTGCAAGAAGTGTTAAAATTACCAGCATGGCATGCTGCGCGTATTGATATAGCAGCAGTTGTGCACATGTTGTATATATGTTTGTGTGTGTGTGTGTGTGTGTGTGTGCGCTTGTGTGCGTGTATGTGTGTCTCGATGACCAGACAAGCTTTGAGGGTATAGTACAAATCATTTCTACGTTCTATTCTGGCCTTAAGTGAGGGCACTTACTATTTTGGATGTTTGTTGCAACTATGCTGTTTCAGTTCCACGTCAAGCATCTGTTTAATGAAACAGTGCAAGAAATGGTTGCTTGTATCGGCTTTTCGGCACATGCTGTTACTTATTTCCTACTAAGCCTTCTCCTAAAGTTAAAATTTTTTATAGAACCATCAATGGCCCCCGTTTATGAGGAAAAACTTGGTTTCAACAAGAAAGCGTCTTGGACGGCACAGAAAGTGCAAGTCACAAACATCGACTTTTCTAAGCTTTCAGGTTAGTGTCCTCAAAACCTATGAAAATATGCTCTTCAGCTGTCTTTTGAATTGAGCACTTACTGATCTTCCGTTTGATTATTTGCTCGTTGTGACGAAAATCAATGGTTACAAAAATATTCTTGGTTTCACTTAGTGATTTCTAATTTTGCAGGCTTGGCGTACAATTTTTTGATCAAAGATATCAGTGAGATTAGTTTGCAGCAGTTGATCGAGTATGATTCCAAATTTGCTGGAGCCAACAGAGAATCGTTCATCCGATCCTGGGTTTATGAACGCCCGGATGCAGCATCTAAGGTGAAATAGTGCGGAAAATTTCTAGTAAAATAATTTTAAACCTAATTTTGCCATCACTGTTAGCAATGAATCGTTGCTTTCACTGATTTTTGCCCGATTTCGTTTTTCGTAGATAAAATTCTATTGCAGCAAAATTATGCATGCATTTATTTTGTTCCTAACAACAGCGTAAGTGTGAGTGCTGGCCACGTCAGAGAGAGCGATGGAACAAAAGGATGCTTGGTGTGCCTCTCTGCGATCACCTTATGTCAGGTGAATGATGCATAGAATGTCCTCGTGAGCTTGCGATAAAAGAGTCAAGTTGATGGGCATGACGTGTTGCTCTTCTTGCCTACA